GGAGTGAGCAACAAGCAGAGGCAGAGCCCCATCGGCACCCACCCTCCCGAGGAGCAATTTCTTTTCGCTGGGAAGAAGGCTGCTCCTGCTCAAACAGCTGAGCGTGTCGGAGCACATCCTCCTCCCCGAGCGGCTGCCGAGAGGCACTCGAGGAATGCCAAAACAACAAACGCCTCTGTTAGCACCGCGAGCCCCCAGAACTTGCCGAGGCAGCTGGTTTCTCAGGATTTGCTTCTTGGGGGAGCACGGATGGGGAGAGACATATCCCCCCCCCGGGTGTTGCAGGAGGCAAGCAGCAAGAGAAGCTCCCCAAATGCAGGCAGGTGCCGCGAGGCCGTCTGGCCTCCCACGCTGCTTTAGCAGGCGGCCGAGCGCTTTCCAAGCGGACACCAGCAACTTCACCGTCGGTTAAATACAACCGCCAGAACAAAACCCACGCTCCGTCTGCAGCGTGGGGACCCAGGTCGGTGACACAGCACCAGGAGGTGGACAATGGGCAAAACCTGACCCTGCCTGCAGCACCCAGCTACGCTCCCGGCGCAGGAGCATCCTTTGCCCGTGCTTTTATGGGGTTTCTCCAGCTCCTGTGTCTGGTGGTGGGTCAGAAACGATCCGCCACCCTTGAGGCTCAAGCGAAAAGAGGCCCTGAAGCTACGTTGGTAGCATCTGGGTGGCTATAGGACTTCCACATCTCCCCAGCTGGGCTCAAAATATTGCCAAAAAACTGACTTTGCTGCAGCTCTGCTCTTCAATGACCCATGTTCCGATCCACTGCCCCGGCACAAGGTCTGCAAGCAACAAGGTGCTCTCCAGGGAAGCTCAGGGTTTTGTACAGCCTTGCCCCTGCACCCCACCGAGAGCTCTCCTGCCGGCAGGTCAGACAGAGGTCTAAGCACTCCAAATCCAACGCCCAAAATGTTGTGGTTTGGTTAGAGCGGGGATGCGTTCCCACCCCGACCACTGGAAAAAAGCGGAGAGCTGGGAAGGTGCTGGGAACTCCAAGCCAAGGGTTGGGTAGGAGGGTCCAAGGGTTTCAACCTTTGGTTGCCCACCCTTGCTCCCTGCTGCTGGAGGGGTGGGGACAGGCAGAGGGACATCCAGCCAGGGTCACCAGGCACCCGTTGAACACAGCGACAGCCTCTTTTGGGAGGGTGCAGCCTGGCTTCGGACCCGCTGAAGCTCCATGGGGCCTTCCCTGCAAAGGCAGCTCAACTCCCAGGTATCTCCTCCAGAATCTAACCAGAGGGAAGGTCCCCAGCATCCTCACAGCTCTGGAGGGGACAAAAGTTCTGCACGGCCTCAAAACAGGGACAAGCATCTTCAGGAGGGAACCTAGACCCTGCCAGCTCCTGAACCTCCTCACCCAGGACCCCACTGGTCACTACCCAGGTGGAATCAGCCATCTGAACTCCTGTTCTCCCTTCTCCAGCGCCCGAAAAAAGGTGGGCCAAGCACTTGCCCAACGGAGGGGACACGCTCTGGGGTCCTCGGAGATGCCCCACTCGCTGCACAGCGTCCACCAGGACAAGCCACCAGCGGGAACCGCTTCGGCCGTCCACGCAAGTGGGGATCAGACACGCCACGTGTACTCAGCCTACGCATAAATACTGCTCTCTCCCGTATTTGCTTAGCATTTTTGTTGTTGGTTTTTTTTTTTTTCTTTTTTTTTCTTTTTTTTTTTTTTAGAAAAAAAAAAAAAACCTCTTCATGAAGGTCTCCACACTTCAGGATGTAAGGAAGCACGTCCGCACAGCAGTTATCCTCGCTACTGCCTTGGCCGCCCTGCCAAGCTAAAGCCAACACTGAGCAGACTCGCTGCTGTATTTTTCTGTGCAGAGATCAAAAAAAAAAAAAAAAAAAAAAGTGGGTTTGACCTGCCCTGTGACATTCTTCCCACTGCGAGGGGAGCAGATCGCATTTCCCAACCGCTGCCTCCCCCAGCTCCTCCCAGAAATTCATCTCTGCAAGAGGCACAGCAGGGAGCTGTAATTTTAAAGGATGACTAAGTGTCGAAACACCAGCAGCTGATTAACAGCAGCTCACTGAAGCTTAATGTCTAGTTAAGATTTTTTTTTTTTTTTTTTTTTTTTTATTCCCCTCCCTCTCCAACCCCTACCTTGGCTTTTTATTTACACTTTTAACATCCCTGAGGAGCTCTGCTTGCAGAGCTGCAGCCCGGCTTCAGAGCTCGACACCTCTCCGCTCCCCGCGAGGCAGCACCCTCGAGTCTCCAGCCAGCCGTGCCTTTACGCGGCGCTCACCTCGCAGATCCCCCGAGCCCCAAACCGACTGTTTTTCCCCACGAGAACGGGGCGGAAGAGCCAAAGTCCACCCAAAGTCCACCCACACCCTGTTCCTTGCAAAGGCGGATCGCAGGCTGCGCTGCGGCGGACGGCGTTTCCTGCTCCGTGGGCTAAGCGTAACTGGGTGAAAAAATAATAATAATTAAAAAAAAAAATAAAAAATAACCCAAGCTCTTTGCAATTACAGATATAAACTCCCCTGAGAGCTCAGATCAGAGATAGCCTGAGCTGAAATTGCTGCGAGTGTATCAGGGTTTTCACACAGGGCTTCGTCAGCACTTGTTCCTGCGGCGGTAGTTTGCAGCGTGAAAGATAAAAACAAGGAACACACACACACATATACACAAAAAAAAAAAAAAAAAATAGGGGGGGTGGGGAGATTTGAGTAGGTCAGGGGAAAAAAAACAAAAAAACAAAAAAACAGGAAGCTGCCAAAAAGCGTGTTGTCACATAGGCTGTAAGAAAATATTAGTAAAGGCAGCAGCCAGCGGTTGTGCCCCTCCTATGGGGTATATAAGGGATGGTCCCGGGTGCGGGAGGTGGAACCAGCCTGCAGGGAAAGGCCAGGGTGCTGCGGGGTTTTCGGGGTGGGTGCTGCACCTAAACCCTGCGTACAGGCCACAGGATTAATTTAGTGAACCACCAGATTTCCCCCCTCCCCGCGTCGTGCTGCTCTCTTGGTGGTTTCTCGGCTGGAGCAAGCGGCGCCGAGATGCGCGTTTGGGGCGAGGGGAGGGTTCGCAGGGAAGAGATTTCAGTGATCAGAACCCCTCGTTTCTCAGATTCGGGGTAAACACCAGCAGATTATCTCACTTTACCTTTTCCCACCAGCCAACAGGGCATTAGTTCCCTTTTTCTAAGGGCTGAGACAGTTCAGCTACGCTACTGGGAAATTAAAATCGAAGATAAAAATCAAATTATCTGCTCACCAGCCTTCTCGATCTTGTTAAAAACACACGTCCAATTCCAACAGCAGAAAAAGAACATTCAGCAAGTAAAGCAAAAAGCTAAGAATCATCCCAGCCAAATTTGTGATTCAAACATTTCCTGCAGAGCTGATCTTGTTCTAAATTTGCCTTGCAAAGTGACGTTGGGATCCCGACAAAACACGCCGTGGTTAGACAGACGGACAAAGAGCTACAGAAGTGTGCGGGAAAATCAATCTGGAAAGAACACTTTTTGCCCCAAAAGCTGCCTCCCCAAAGGCATCGCTCCTACGTATTTCAGGAGAAGCCCTGCGCCCACATCTGCAGGGAGTTTCATGCATCAGCAGAAAGCTGGCTGGAGACAAAGGTTCCTACTCAACACCTTTACTCGCTACGTACAACCTCGGTGAAGGTTCAAGGGCATCACCCACAGGCAGGGGAAGGCTTTTTGCTGAACGTGTCGTAAAGATGAGAGGTCACCAAGAAGCACTCAGGGAAAAAAGTGATTTACCAAGCTGACAGCAGCGATGCCCAAGACTTGGTATGAAACCACATCACCTCTGATACGTTCCAGGCTGCTCAGCAGCCATCAGGCTGCAGCAATCCCCAGCCTGAAAATAAGTTGGAGTAGGAACAAAACAAAAAAAACAAAAAAAAGAGATTTTTTTTCAGAGATTTAGCAGCCCAATTCATAATTCCAGTTTGGGAGCAGGAGTGCATCGCTGCTAGCCCAACGATACCAGCTCATTGCTTGGTAAAGACAGCTCAGGAGTGATGCTCCTCATCAACAGGCCACCACACGCTGCGTCACCTCATCTATACGTATCGAGTGGCAGGGCTGGAAAGCAAGAGCCGTTTATTCATTATTCATCATTATTTCCAAGATCTCCAGCTCCTGTTTCAGCTTCGACCCAGACCTCGTGCGTTTTCCGGCGCAAAACCCAACCACGGCACCTACAAAGATGTTTCAGCCTCGGTGATGGATCTCAAGAGCTACTCCCAGCCCTCAATCCGGGCGGGCTGTTCTGAAGAAGGGACGCGTTCGCTGCCGGGAGTTATTCCCAAGAAGCTGCGAGGATTTTGCTCTGCTTTCTCAGCAGAGCGCACGTGCTCATCTGCAGCAGCATCTCTGATGCACGCCTCCCACCGAGGAGGTTTCTAGCCGGTGAAACGCTGAGAAAAGGTCACGTCCCGCATCTTCAGGTCAAACTTTACCCCCCTGTCGACTCCAAAGGAGACCTGACGGCATTTTTACCGGCAGGAAACCAACTGCACAGTCAGCCAGTCCTGCCAGGAACGACACCCTGCCTCGGTTAGTTTCGTGCTCGCATTTTCCGGTGACAAGAGAGAACAGCGGTGGGCCGCAGTTAAAACAGCCACGTGTCCTCTGCAGGCCTCCACTCACAGAAAAAAAAAAAAAAAAAAAAAGAAAAAAAAAAAATCCACATTTAAAATGACACACGTGCAGGGGACAGAGATGCAGCAACGGCTGTTGAATTCAAGGGAGCCTAAAAAGCAAGAGAGCCAACATCTCTGACGGCACCACCGTCCCCCTGCTACCCCCAGAAACGCTGCAAGTCAGCCCCAGGGCTTTTCCTCCTTATTCCCCCATCTCAGATCATTTGCACCATGAGATCATATCCCCACCAAAAAAAAAAAAAAAAAAATAATTGCATGCTAGAAGCCAAGGAAAGATCCTAATTAGCAAACACGAAAGCAGCACGTGAACAATACATACAAGAGAGGCAACTGGGAATAAATAAATAATTACTTGTGCTTGACGGTCTCCACTTCATCATCTTCTCTGAGCTGCTTGTTCTCACGTTCGCCGCTGTCCTTATTCTGAAAGAAGAGGTTGATCTGTCAGGCCTTGGCCTCTCTGGATACGACAGAGAGCAAACAGCAGCCCAGAAACCCTCCCGGAGGGCACAGGGCAAACAGCAATGTGCAGTTTGAAATTACTTTTAAATTCCAACACTTTTAAATTAAGCCTGTTTTCCTTTCTCTCCCTTTAGCAGCCCGCTTGTACAGATAAACAAAGGTAAGAACGGGCAAGGCGGATTTAATTTTCCTTTGAGGCAATCACACCACTTAATGCTGATATCCCCCCTTATTAACTGGTAACTGCATCAATTCAGAGAGCAAACAGCGAGTTGCGATCCAGAATGGAGCTCAGAAACCTCGGCCCGTGTTGGAATTACCACCTCGCGTTAAACAGCGGAGCGAAAGGAGATCGGGGCACTGAGCAAAACAGCAGCCACGTACACCTGCACCACGCCGCTGTGGCATGGGCCTGAAGTTCAGTCTCACGCTGCTGGATCCAGAAGAAAGGATGGATACAACTGTGATAGCTGAAGGGAACTACAGGCGGACGGGAGGGAGAATAAAAGTTCAGGGAAGTCAGCAAGCCCACGCTCGGCTGGCTCGCGACGCAGCGGACCACCTGCAAAAATCCCGGGAGCAGATGCCAACAGGATTCACACGGGTGCCTTTTCCTTCTCCTAAATAATCGTTTTGGACGTTTTAACAGGTTGCAAAACCAGACGGCGGGAATCAAACAGCGAGCAGCACAACAAAGGGTCTCATTTCAGCTCCAGAAACACCGTGCAGTAACGTAAATCAATTTTCTCTTTAACAGGATGCTACAGTAGTGTAAAGAGGCTCATTTTGCATCATCCAGACACTGGCACTAACAGCTTATTAGTTGAGTTACCGATTATATTTATTATCCCGACAGGCACGCAGTTACTGAACGTTAACGATAATGAGCCAGAAAGGGGTTTGGTTGGTTCTCACACTGATGAACTAATTTCATTCAATCGCTGAACAAAGCATGCTCCGCGACAAACACATCTGCCCTTATTTTGCAGCGTATATTGTTAGAGCAAACGCAAGGAGTGAACGACTTCCTTGGAAGCAGGTGCTTTTCTGACTGAACTCCCCCGTCATCCTCCAAAGGAAGAGCAACATGTGGCAGCTCCAGGCAGATTAAGTCCTTACTTCCTTGCGCACGGCTGGTTCCAGGAGGAGTATTACCCAAGCTAACTGGTAATAAACACACAGCGTTTGTTTTTGTATTATTACCGGCTACAATTCACATCTCCACAAACACACTGTTGTGCCAGCGTTCATCTGCCTCTCAACAGGAACGGCTCGGAGGCCAGAGAAGCTGTTTTCAAGAAATGTCCTTTCACCGCATCGCAGAGGTTACCCGTCCTCTTCCCCCCAGTTCAGAGACGAAGCGCTCTAGGGTCAGACTGTTCAAAGTCTTTTTTTCAACCCTGAAAGAGGTTCACAACTCTTTTTGGAAAACTGCAAGCAAAAATTGGTTGTAACCAGAACACGACCAATATCACTTTCAGATCAGAAATTATTTTAATAAATTACTTGCTCTGTTAAAAGCTTCACTGGAGAGTTCAGACATACAACAGCCAACTTCAGGATACCAAAATTATTTACCAGCTCAACTTACTCCTAACGTCTGAAAGGACCAGAAAGGTTTCCCTGGTAAACACCTTGCTTACCACGTGCATCTTGACTCTGCAAACTTTAAAACTCTCTTCTGTGACCTAAGTTAAAAATTAGATTACGTGCAAACAGGGAGGCGAGCCAGGAAATAGCTCAGGTCTGGTTCAGGCTCATCAGTGACTGAAGTTGGTCAGGTTCAGCTCCTGATCAAAGGTCGAGAAAAACGGTCCTGTCTCTTTAGAAAGAGAAGGCGGGGGGGGAGAAAAGAAGAAAAAAAAAAAAAAAAAAGAAAAAAAAAAAAAAGTCATTCCTAAAAACCAGTGTTTAGTTCCCAGTTGAGTTCCCAGTTGCAATTTTATTTTTAAGTCCCTAGTAACCTCGTGATACTTGCACAGACATTTCTTTTTCAAGAAGGACCATGAGCTTGGCTCCTGCCGTAACTTTCTGCTGAGAGCTCAGCGCTAGGTAATACTTAGAGACCCTTCAGTACACGCTATTTAAAGCTGTGGGAAGTACCCTCCTTGCACTCTAAGTCCTTTCTCATTCCTTTCATCTCTTCATACTTTCAGCGCGTGCACACAGAGTCTGCGTTCTCCTCATTCTTGCTAGAATTCTATCTAGGAGGGTTATAAGAAGATTCTGAAATCCCGAAGAGATATTGGGCAACAATATTCACATCAAGCCATGGCTATTCTTCCTCCCACAAGCCTGAACTTTTTGCAGCACTGCAAATCTTTCTTTTCCCCCCGTATGCTGAAATAATTTGATATTGAAATCCTAACACTCTCCTAGAGCTTGCCCCAAATCCCCAATTCCAATTTATTCCCCATTACCACCTAAAATATTTTCCTGTGGACAGAGGGGCACGTGCAGGGAGAAGCCGGCCCAGAGTGGCTCCTTGCCCACATGGTGATGTTGCTAGAAAAATGAACCGGGCCACCAGCAAATGCAACTTCATGCAACAAGCCCTGTAGTGCCTCCAAGCAGGGAGTTTTTCCTCTGCTACAGCTCTCCTCGTGGCACCTTCTTGGATGGCATGGAACAGGCACGAGAGGCCCTTCAGCACCATGTGAGCGGGTGTGGGAGTCACCCTGGGGGATATCCCAGGCTGGAAAGAAAGAAATATGGTCCCTCCTGTACTTTAACAGAAGGGAAACACTGGATAATGAGGATTGGAGTAACCACAGGCAGCCATTGCCAGACTGTTCATCACCATCAAGAACGCCCTTCAAATTATACTCCCCGCCATCATCCGCCGTTAATCAGGATCCACCAGATAGATCAGGGTGTAAGTGGAACAGAAACAAGGTCTGAAATGGCTATGTCTGAAGCCAGGCTTCTGCTCTTCCCCCCCGCCAGCAAGAGAAGTAAATGCTAGTTCCCTGTTTGCAAAACGGTCTGTAAACAAGATTTTGGTTTCATGAGCAGAGTGACGAAAACCCCCAGCCACCACGGGGCAGAGACAACACGTGGCGAAGAGGCCGTAAACCTCCAGCAGCATCAGGAACGCTCGCGGCTCTACAAAAAAATAAATAAAAAAAAATAAATAAAAAAAAAAATAAAAAAAAAAAGAGGGTTTTCTAAAGCAATATTTGATGGGACAGCTGAGGAGGATCGCTGCTCCTCTTCTGGTCGCTGAGCTTTTTGTTTGCATTTCCAAGCAGGCTGCGCTGCTTTCCCCCTGCACGCTCGCCCTACCCACAGTTTACCAGGCGGGTTTCCTGTGCTGCCTTCAAGCGAGGCGAAAAAAAAAGTGGTGGGTCTAGGTGCTGAGTGCAGGGAGCCGTCACGGGTTTTTAAATATAGATATAAACTGCTGCTGATTCAAAGAGCTTCTCGATGGTTTGAGGCCGGAGCAGGCAGCAAGCGGGGTGCCTTGCTAGCAGCACCCAGTCAGCCAGGCCTTGGAGATCACTCCTCTGCTTTCTACACTTCCTCACCCAAAACGCTGGGGTTTCCTGCTGTATAAGAAGGCTGAACTTTCAGTTACTTCCGCAAAAAGAGGCAGTTAAAGTGTCTGAAGCCTTCAGAGATTGACTGTGCACAACAGCAGCAGGACGCGGAAAGGACTGATTCTGTGCTCGCAGCGGCTTGAGCTGTTAGATCTGCTAACAGCTTCAATTTCATTTATTCCCCATTTCCACCGTAAGATTTTTCTTAAGTCATGGTGATATTCATAGAAAAAAATCATGTTAGATCCACCTGGAGATCATTCCTCCTCCACGAAAACCAGAGGTGCACCCCATTGCTTGGCAATGCCCGTAGCTTTGGCTAGCGACAGAAAAGCTTTACCGTAGCAAGCTTTACCCACACCCCCTGAAATTATATCCAACACAAACATGCCTCGCTTCAGTCGGAGATACTACAACCAAATCCTTCAGGGAATACCTATCAGAAGTCCCGGGGGTGCCAAGAAAGAGCTGGGGCAGAGCTGAAATGCCGGAGGACGCGACTGTCCTCGCGCGCAGGCCCGGCATCGTCTCCGGGACCGCGCGCACGCTCCTCCGCTTCAGCGCGAAGGCAGCCAGAGCGGCTCACGCCTGCGTCCATCAGAGCTGTAAATTAAACCCGGGCAAGGCAGGAATCCTCCTTGTTCACAACGTCTGCGCCAACGTGGAGGAGCTTCCCCTCTCCAGCCGCTCCCGCGGGCACAGAACCTGAAACCACGCGCGAGATACGGAGCTTGCGGCGAAGCTGCTGTGCCTCCTCGGGAGCAAAGGGTTGTCGAAAAGGCAGATCCCATTACCATGATCATTTATTGATACAGAGACGGCCCCTCAAACAGGCAACTTCTCTTACAGCTCCACGTTTTACCGCTGCCCCTTCCCTCTCTGCCCGTACTGGATTTATCCAATTCCTCAAGACTTTGCCACAGCAGCGATGTCTCGGGGTTCTCCGCTTTGCTCCGAATTTTTTAAGACCCGCCCCTTCATCTTCCTCTTCAAGTAGTTCTGTTCCACAGTTGTGTCACAACGTTCATTTCTTAACTCAGGAAAGGAAGTATTCCTCCCCAAAACACCGTTTGCCCTAATTACCTGTTCATCCTTCAAGCGTTTTCATGCATTTCCCTTTGCCTGCTCGTGGTCGCTCCTCACAGGTGCGCAGCAGCAATTCAACTCTCACTACTTTTCGGTTCAACTTCATTTTCTCACATCTCAAACCTTCACGCCACAAAGGGAAATGAAAATAACCATTCCTCTGCCATTCCACTCTCGCTCTAGCGATTCCTCTTTTCAAGGCGCCCCGTGGCGAGGTTTTTATTATCAGCTGTAAGTCATGAGATTGGAGACGCACACACAAGTCGACGAGACTGTTCACCAACTGCCTGCAAAGTCATTCCCATCCTTCGGCCTTTGGAAGGAGACACTCAAAGATAAATTCCCAACATTAAAAAGCTTGCTTGCTTGTAGTCTCCTACCTATTTTAATTCACAGACGTCGCAACTGGCAACCCGTGGCTTGTAGCTACCAACACAAAGACTTTTGCTCCACGGACTCCCACTCTTCACAAAGAGGTCTGAGATGAAAAGAGTCCAAGCCACTGCCTCTTCAAGGTGTAAATCCAAGAAGATTTGCATCGGGTTGCTCAAAGAAGGGTGTCAGCTGCCTCGCCACAACACCCAGAGCAAGCTTTACCCGGGGATCAGTTAATAGCTTGTGCTCCCAGCTGAACATCTGTGGGGAACTGGATGATGTCTGCAAGGGTTAGAACCTGGGTCCTGCAAACCTGGGATGGAAACCACGTTATTTGGTCAGCATTAACTGCATGAGCTTGCTTTCCTCCTAGCCAGCACCAGGCAGAGAGAAGATGATAGCCGACAGTTCAATATTCAGAGATGGACAGCAACTACCTGGTAAAAAACACTTTGTAAAGAACAGCCGAGCATTTAGAAATAGAAGGGAAATGAAGAGGAAAGCTTCTGGGTCATTACTAGGGGGATGAGTCCATCTCCTGTCGCCACCCACAACCCACAGTCCTGCCAGGCAGCAGTTTTATTTGCCTGCTGAACAACTACTGGATTTTATGGAGCTCCGCCTGCAAAATAGCAAGCTCCTCCAGCATTTTGGGGAAAACACCAGGTTTCACGTTCTACCACTTCCCGGACTTCAGGCAAGTCGTATCACAAAGCAAGAGGTAAGCCTTGAAAAATCAGCAGAGAGGAATGCAGTCGAGGAAGGCATTTCTATTCTCTCGTCTCCCGGCGTACAGACGAACTTTGCATGTGAAATTACAGAACATGAGACTTATTTCACCTGCAGTAAAGCAAACTCCCCTACCCATCATGTGCTTCCTTGTGCGTGGAACAGGTCTTGGCTACCTGCGAGAGCATCTGCTCTGGGGAACACAACGTTTCGAGGACTATAAAACTTTTCCCCGGGGTTCAGCACATGATCATGCTTTTTTCTTGCTGGTGGGAGCCTGCCCGGCAATTCGGTTCCTTCCGCTGTAATAACAAGGGAGGGAGCTCACTGTGCAGCGCATTCGGAGATTTAAGGCCAAAAAGGGGTGTTTAAATCACCTCACCTGACCTTTCAACCGCCTCAGATCTGGGAAGTCTCAGCTCGTTATCCCTACGCTGCGGCAAAAGCGCCTTTTCCAAGAAAAGGTAAAGGACACAACCTTCTCCTGAAGACAGCAGATGGAGGAGCCGTCCCCTTCCCTGGCAGCTTCTCTTAAAGCCCATTTCTAGTTGTTGGTTCCCGCCATCACTCGCTTCCAAAGAGCATTTGGTACCTGATCTGTTTAAAGGGTGTAAACACTTGGGCGCTACGATCGAGGACGCTCCTCAAAGATTTTTTGGATCAGCCAACCGGATTAAAGCGGCGCGCTCTTCCTACCTACCCCATCGCTGACTTTTTCCGGTGTCCCCAAATGCTGAGACCACGTGAACCAGGGCAACACCAGGTCACCATCCCTCACCTGATACCCACATCCTTCTCGACGCCGCTGGCTTCCCAGAGGTGAACCCATTTTATGGATAAGCCCCATATTTTCCCCACGCAGGTGTACAGAGCACACCCCCGCGTGCCCTGCAACCCCCCTTTTTGCTCAAAAGGGCTCATCCTTAATACAAAGAGATGACGATCGCTACTCGGACCTCACCAGCCTTCAGGCTTTGAGTGAGCTGTCATCAAACCAGCAGAAAACGCACGCATATTTCCAAATGACTAATGGAAATACGGGATGCACAGGCCCCCAAAAGCAACACCTCCGCCAAGCGACGATTCCTCGTTGACAGCTATTAAGCTATCGGTTATCCAGTTCAGAGCTGTAATTTTTAACCAGCACGTTGTGCAACACTAACCCTTCACTAACTCCAATTTACATGACAAAACTGACACTCCCTTTTTCTCACTCTTCATTCAAAGAACTGCAAATCAGGCTTTCATCATTCCGACACCAACAGCAGTCAAACTGGCATCACCCAAGTTACGCTTCTTGCCCTTATTTTTTAAATAGTGGTGTTTTATTAGCACTTTTCCAGTCCTTTGGCATTTATGCAGTATTCAGAAAAGATTTCAATCAAAATGCAGCAGGCTACCAATCTCTTCAGCTGATTATTTTAGGGTTCCTAGGTGCAAATTACCTACAACTGCTGATTTCAAGTGGCTTTGCTAGATGCCTAACATCCTCTCATCACTGTTGGTCTGGAAAGCAGCACATCACTCCTATACGACACAAGTGTGTCACTTAACTCCTTCCCAAATATACTTTATAAACTGAAGCTTGCATTTCTTTCCTTCTCTCTCCTCCACCGTCTTTTAAAATTTTCTGTCTGAAGAACTGCTTCCCCCTCTCACCAGGGTCGGCCTTTAGCAAAGGTACAATAACCAAACTGCCGTGGTTTGATATCTGCCTAAATCTTCCAACTTGCATTTCCACTGCCCCCCAGCTTTAGCAGAGCTGCTCTTTCAAATCCCCCAGGGCAACTCAGCCGGCCCCGAGTGCCCATATTAAATACAACCCAGCCACAGCTAGCCATCCCCTGGCAACCCTTAAAAGTCAACAAAATGACCCGACGGCTTCTCCTCTTCCCAGGAACTAATATCAACTTATTTTCCTTGGAGGTTAACCAGAATAGTAAAGATCTCCTTATCTTTCATTTAAGGCTTAGAGGATGGTCACGTTACCAGTCAAGTGCTTCTTTGGCACAATAACTGTCTCTTTTTTGAGGAGTTAAAAAGAGGTCAGTGCTGGAACAAAGCAAGTTTGAGCTCTCGAGCTGTTCTCTGCCAGCTGGGCTGTAGCTGCTCCTATTCCCACTTACCGGCTGCCGAGAGCCAGCCCCAGGGAGGCAAAGTGTTAGCGTTTGAAATCGGCAAGAAAAGCGGCCCCTCCAAGAGCCTGCCCGTATCTCTGACACCTGGGAAGCTCCCAGATCGCATCGGCCCAATTTCTGCACAACCCGAGGGGACAACTTCATCCAGGTTAGCGAGCGTTCATCTTGTTTGGTGGTTACATTCACCCTTTTCCTTGATATTTCTTTGTACCGAAGCATACGTGGCGGTGAGGTCAGCTACGAGGTGAGGACAGAGTCACGGTGCCTCGGGCCGAGCATGGCACCTACTAGCACTTTTTGCTTTAAATCTTCGGCCAAGATTTAAGCTCAGATGTCCTTGAAGCCTGGCAAGGCGCCGCTGTGCACTCCTGCTCCCATCTCGCTGCTCTTTCCAGACATTTAATGCCAGAACGCAGAAAGCCAAGTCATGAAATGTCACCGAGTAGCTAAAGGTTTCAATTAGCAATAAAGCATGTTTTAAAGCCAACAGAGTTTCAATTCTCTAAGTAGGCAAAAAAAAAGGATCTCGATAAAATTTTACAGCAAAAAGTTCTGCACATAAAAACATCATTACGGTATACTCAGTACCCAAGATCCACCGATATTTTTCAAAAGCTGTTGGGAATCCATTTGCTCATAGCAACCCTTGAGGTAATTGTATAAAAACATGATTTTTAAGACCCGGAGCCTCTGTGTCCCTGCTGCTTATTCCTTATTGAAGTCTTAATCCTGGTTCAGTCATAGCTGGTTACTATGGAAATGGTTAAATCAGAGCCCGAACAGCGTGACTTCCCATCAGAAACAAACACAAGGAACAAAACTGCCTCTGAAAATTAAACACCTCGGTTTACGGCCATGCCTCCAAAAAAATACCCTCACATTTCTAGAAGGAAAGGTATTTTTAATACTTTTTTAAATAATTGTGTTGTTTATGTAGTAAATGAGCACAAATATTTCTCCCCTTCAAATAAGCCAAAATGACTCCTAAGTGGCTGTGGTTCGCCGTTTTAAATGTACCTGCTACCACGACTTCAGAACCTGGCCGGTTGCGTCGCAAACGCTGCTGTTAAATGGCAAAAACTGGAGAATGTTTCAGGCAGCAAGTTGCCGTCCCCCCCGTGAAATTAGTGCCACGGGTATTCCCCCTGAGATCAGAACTACAAACTTTTCATTGAAGAAAACACCTATGTGAAAACACACCAGTTTCAATTAGACGTAGAAAGTTTGAGCGGGAAGAAATCGGCACTTCTGAGCAGGAAGAACAAGCCATTTCAAAGCCAAAACGCTTTTTCCAGGCAATGAAGAGCTGGAAAAGCCATGAATAAGCTTCTCCATCCCAACCCAGTGGAAACGTCACTAACTCCTTTTCATGTAGGACATTGTCAGAGCAAAATTGAAGCTACACAGAACAAGAGCACTGGGGGCTGCTGGCTGAACCCCCCTGTGCTCACACAGTCCACAGGTTCCCTCTAACAGCTTTGCCCAACAGACGAACGAAAAACACCGTTTCACCCCAAATTTCCTTGGTGTCACCTATTTTGGACAAATTCTCACCATCCTTCTCCGGGCCCTGGTTAAATTTGAAATTACATTTCGTTCTCCATCCTCACCCCAGGATTCTTCACAACACTCATCCAATCAGGTCATTCCAGTTCACATCGGCACGAGATGCTGCTACAACATCGTTACCAGTTTTGTTAACGAAGAACACGTGCATGTATTGGTGTCACCTGCGTCAGGCAGTCGGGCATTAGAGGGGCTCTTGGTGGGCATTAGAGGGGCTCTTGGTGGGCATTAGAGGGGCTCTTGGTGGGCATTAGAGGGGCTCTGCCCCTGCCCTCAAATCTGATGTGAACGACGAGTTTTCTCCCAATCCCTGGGCCAAGAATCTCCCGTAATCCTCCTTATTAACACAAAATGTTAATGCGGGGCTTTCCCCTCACCTGAACTCACCCTCCACAGCGAAGCCACGGTCCTGGTGCGAAGCCACGGCACACTGCTAAGAAATATATCTTAGGGAGGCAGTGGGGAACCCCACTGCACTGGCAGGGAAAAGCCCACCCATTGAGGGCGAACGGGTGGAGCTGCCAATTTGCAAAAGCATCGGATAATTACCATTTGAAGGGGAAAGCGGTGCTTTTCTGAGGCCTGAGTCTAAAAAAATCGTTTCCCCAGAGGAAATCTGCACAACCAGAGCCCCTGCCTTAAATGCAGTAAATCCCCATTAGGGACTACTTAACTCTAGTCTGCAAAATGCAGGGGGACCATCCATCCTTGAAATGGCAGGGCAAAACGCGTTTGAGGATGGGCAGTAAAGCATCAGCTCCCTAACACGAGTGCCGGGATCAGCAGTGGAAAGTTTTGTGGGTTTTGCAGGCTGCGTTCAGAGCCCTGACGCGTTTGAGAAGATACAGCCAGCCCTTCTGAAAAAGCGATGCTGGCAGCAGGCAGGGCAGACCGTTACAGCTTGTTCTAGCAAACGACAAAACTTCTTTATTTGAATTTGACAGGTTAATGTGCTTGCGAGAGTCATCCCATCCTCCGGTAAAGGCTGTTGATTTACAGGACACAGCACTCGGGAATCAGCTGAATCTCGACCAAAAAAGGGGTTTTAGCTCAAGAATTAATTCTGTTTGTGCTAGAGGAACGGTGTGCCTGTTTTAACCCCTGACGCATGTTCACTACTAAGTCACATAATTCTCTCCTGCTATCCAGGAGAAAAAAAAAAATAAAAGGCAAAAAAATTAAAAAAAAAAAAAAAAAAACAAACTGCTAGTCATATTCAAGCTGAGAAGCCACCACTGCACTGCAGAGACGACGGTCCAGTTATTTTCTTGTTCTCCTCTGGGGTGGGAAGGAAGAGAGGGCCAGGCTGGTTTGGTTGGATTTTAGAGGCATTTCAGTGAGTTAATTTGTCACTTCTGTTGCTCTTGGATAAAAGCAGAAACAAAACCAAATGCTACGCATGGGCAGTTTCATTTCACCAAGGAAGGGGAAAAAAAAAAAAAGGGGGGGGAGGAAATGACAAACTAAACCAGGTTTGTGTTTCCACACCAAGACCTTATCGAAAGGTTAAAGGTTTGCTGCAGCCAAGAAACTCAAAGCATGAATCCTCCCAATCCTGTATTTATATTAAAAAAAAAAAAAAAAGTTAGATAAGCTACCGAGAGTTTCACAAACGTAAATCACAGCTTCGCAGGCGCTAATTGAGCGGTGCTGCCTGGGCGCAAGACAAATCTAGCTCTGCATTTTTGGAGCTGATGATTAACCTATTTTCTGGAGGTCTCTTCTTCCTCTTGATAAATTAAACAAAAAAGCCCGTTGAAAAGCAAGGCCAGCTGGCCACGCAGCAACACGGCTGCTGCTCCCCAACTACCCTGCCATGGTTCTTCCTTTGCTTTTCGGCATTCGGCTTCGTTCTGCCAAGCAGAAAGATGCTGGAGAAAACTTGCGTACCGATGGAGATCACCAGGACCATCCCATCTTTGTCAGGACTATAAATTATTTGCTCGGAGGTTATGAGGGAACTAAACTTTAAAAGAAAATTCCTCTACAACTAACAGCAACTTTACGTTCGCGTAGCGAAAGTGCGGCCCGGCAACACACAATCATTCATTCAGGTTTTTTATGACACACATTATTTCAGCAACGAGATTTTAATTTCCTCATCCGTGAAATTGGGATGGTTCAAAACGACCCGAGAGGGATGCCGTGAGGCTAAATGAACACACGGGCTTGGCAAATAACTCAATTATTTCATAGCTGGTGCAACCCAGGTATTTACAGTCCAGCACCAAAGTAACTGGGCGTTGCAGGGAGACATGGCATTAATAACTGCAGTTTCTCTTTTCTGTGATCCACGCAAGGTCATGGCCACAAGGGACTCTCCAGACACGCACCAAACTGGCCAAGAACAAAATGCTTAATTGGAAAACAAAATAGCTCCTTGCAGAAATACACACACGAAGCCTCCTTTGAACCTTTCCTTCTCCATGCACTGCCATCCTCCAGCGGGCTGTGGTGGGTGACAGAATCACAGAGTCGTTTAGGTCGGAAAAGACCCTTAAGCTCACGGAGTCCAACCGTTAACCCAGCACTGCCACGGCCACCATGTCCATAAGTGCCACATCCACACGTCTTTTAAACACCTCCAGGGATGGTGACTCAACCACTTCCCTGAGCAGCCCGTTCCAACGCTTGACAACCCTTTCAGTGAAGAAATTTTTCCTACTATCCAATCTAAACCTCCCCTGGCACAATTTGAAGCCATTTTCTCTCATTCTATCGCTTGTTACATGGGAGAAGAGACCGACCTCTGCAGTGCCGAGCCACCTACAGCCACCACAAAGCATCTGCCCAGCCTCAGCTAGTATTTCAGGACTGGGTTGAAAATTCAGTTCAGGGCCTCCTGTTTTCTGGATAAGGAACAAGTATTTTCACTCAGACTTGGTATCTTTAGCTCATCAAATGAGGCAATAACCAGGGTGTCTGACTGGTGTGGGGAACCCAAGTCCTGGCCTGTTTCAGACTTGTTTTGCAGTAGAACAGCATAATACTCACTTGCATACATGCAAGTAGACATGCAAGGAACATACAGAACCTGAAACATATAGAAGATAACGGTATAAAGTGCTCAACAGCTGAGCTTTGCATTTATTTTTTTTTTTGAAAAAGCATCAAATATGAGTGGTCCCTTATATTGATGTGTCTTTTTTTTTTTTTTTTTTAAAAAAAAGAAAGAGTCTGACAACCTTTACCAATGGTTAATTGTTCATTCAGATGCCACATGAGACGCTGAAACCCCTGCAGCAGCACACCAACAACTCCAGCGATGGAGCCAGCAGCGAAGGCGACCCCAAGCAAACAGCACGGACATTTACCAGAAGCACCTGCGGTGGAAAATGAGCAAAACCAATGTAGGCTGCTAACAGGAGGGAGCATTAAGGGTCTCGCCAGCGAGAACCTCGGCTACTTGTCTCATTGGGAAACTGCCTGGAGAAAGGCTGAATTCCCCAGTGTCACGAGGGAAACGGCTGGAGGTACCTCCAGGGAAGAGGATCGTGGCCTGACCGCTCACGTGGTGATGTCCCCGTGGGGAAGAGAAGCAGCGGTGCATCGCCGTATGGAGCAGGATGAGCTCAGACATACCCCGAGGATGCACAGCGCAGCTCCAAAAAGCACATTTTTCCAGTAGTCGGGTTTAATTTCCACCTCTCTGCCACAGCTCTAAGGCAGGAAGGAGAATAACGTTGTTTTTTTTGGGGTGGGGAGAGGGGAAACAAGCCCTGCACGTTCCCTCTGAAAAGGGCAAAACACACATTTTGCCAGCCTGGTCTCCAAATTCCTCACACAGGCACAACCACCAAGAAATTTACGTGGGATGGGAGAAAGGCTCCTCTTCCACCTGCATCAAA